GTAGAATAAGTTGACATACTTGCAAAGACACTTATTGTCAGTTTATCTGTTGGTTGACCATCAAAATAAAGTGTTAGCATATATTTACAGTAGCAGACATACTAATACTCTAATGACCGCTAGTTGATATGTAGTTGCAACAGCTGTCTAAAGGGTACCATCAAAATAATCAAACTGATATTACAATAAAAATAGTTCAAAGCAAATGTGTCATATTACACATTCATCCGATCAGATCTTATGGCTGTTTGAGAGAAACGTTTTAAAAATTATTATTATTACTACTTATAAGTGGTCTTTGACCGCTTTAAGTAAAGTAGCATAAGAAAAATGGCAAGATATGAGACTTCTAATACATTATAACTATGAGAAATATAATCCATTGTAAAAGTGGATGCAACGTGTTCATTGTGTTATAAATCATCATACTCTTAAAAGCTATAACCACAAATAAGTAAATATTATAATATATTAAAACTGTTCTTATGAGTATTCATGAGATGATACAACATAGTATAAAGTTTTTTATAATGCATTATGCATTCATTATAATGCCTTAAGAATACCCTTACAATGTATTATAAATACGGGCTTCATAGAAAGTGTTACCGTAGATTCCAGTGCAGTGCTGGAAATTATTCGGGGTTTTTTTTTAATTAATTGAGGATATCTAATATTATAATGACTATTAATATGTAATATTTTATTTATACTGGGATTATTTTTTTTATAATTAATAAAAACTCGTTTGTTTAATTTTACAGTACAATAGTATTATTGCAATATTCATATTTTTTATTTGTTTAATTGTTATAATTTAAGTAATAATAAAACTATAATTTTAATAAATCAGATATTATTTATAATTATTATTATTATTTGTACTTATTACTTTTTTGGTCTTTAGCAGATCACATGCCTTATGTTTTCCTGTTCTATGCTGTAAATGATGATATGTACTGAGAATCATGTACTGTTTAGAGGTGTTCAGCTTGTGTGTTGTCTGCGTTGGTCTCGCTCCCCCCTGATCAATTTCGTGTGGACTTTAATCATCACCCCAGGGGGCCTTTAACAATGCTATTTCAATCCTCAGAGTTTTTGTCTGTCCTCAAAGCTGGACCCTTGAATCTTTTCCGGTAGTTAAACGGCACAGTGGGATCCTATTGTTGGAAATAAAGGTCTTAAATGGATCTGGTCCTGCTGGTGTTGTTTATCCCAGAGTCCAGACCATGCTAGAAAAACAAAGATGATTGCTGATTTTAAATCCCTGGTCACATTTCTGGCCCTATTGCTTATTTATTTAATTTTAATTACTTTAAAGGAAAAGGAAAATATAATAGAACACAAATTACAAATGGCTGGAGAGTTAATAATAAAATATAATCTTCTAAGAGCAAGAATAATAATATAAATACAACGGAACAAATATTTTTTTTTAAATCTGTCATATTAATATTAATTAGTTTATTGAATTAGTTTAGTTTTCTATATTGATAAAGTAGCAAAATGAACATGTATGTCCATTTTGGCATTGATTTGTAATCCTAATGAAGCATTATAATTAGCATGAATGTGCGAACATTTTATTAATATATGTAATGTAAAAATGTAATTAATCAAATTAATTGTAATATTTTACTTTTTTTTTTTTTGGCAAGTAATTAGTTAATTTTATGTTTAAAAATGTTTACGTTTAATTTAGGATTCTTATAGTAAAAACACAAGGTTTATGATTATAACTGAATTCGATCAACTCCTCAATTGTAGCATGTTTCATCTGTTCATTTTCCTTTTGTGGTCACCTATTTAATTCTATACATTTTCCATAAAAACTTATTAGCTAATCAGTAAATAAAGATAGATCAAGATAAAGCAAAAAAACAAACAAATATATATATATATATATCAATCAGTGCTTAAAATGAATATCAATCAGTTTAATTCTATGTTTATTTGAACGATGTGATCTTAGTCAGCGGAATCAAGAGATAGCAAATGTTTAGAATGTGAAGCTTTACAGATCCAGTTTATTTTACAGACACTCTCAGAGTTCCTCTCCTCACATGATTTGCTGATGAATGGATGAATGATCGTGTTTGAAGAGTCTTAATAGGGCTTAGGTTTTTCCCTGAGCGTTTCTTTCACCCATAGGGCAGCATGCGGTCTACTTCTGTTCTTATTAATGGTCCACGCCAGCTTCAGCGAGCAGATGAGCAGAAACTCCACTTTGAATTTCTGGAACGCAGCATGGGAGGGTTGGACTATTAACCGGCAAGCACTCGGAGGAAGAAAAAGGCCTTTGTTTTAAATGCTCCAGCCCTCCCTCTCCATCACAAACCCCTCCCCTCCTTCCGCTACTCTTCTTTTAGTTTTGATTTCTTTTCAAAAATGTAAAGATGGGACAAACAAGCAGCTTTAGAATGCGCCTCTCGGAGAGACAGATGTCAGAGCTTTTGTGTCGCGGCGAGCGCATCATTATAACTCGAAAGTTCCCAATGGCGGGGGGTTGAGGGTTTGAGAGTTTGAGAGGGGTCCGCAGCGTGCCATGAGCGACACAGGGCTTAATTTAGACACCGGTGATCGCTGCCAACTGAGAAGCTTTAAAGACACGACCATCTGAGAAAATCAGGTCTGCTGGCATTAATGCAGAGGTTTCACCAGTATGTGTTTTCGAAGGCAAGCGTCACTATTAGGCCACATATGTTCAGGGATTCAAAACAACTAAAGTATTGTATTTTATCGTGTAGCTAAAAGTAAAAGTATGTAAAAGTAAACAATACGGTAGACAGATGCTATAGATTTAGTTGCATATGAATTAGAATGTGGTGGTGTCAATATAACATGATGTTCAATAAGTAAAACTCAATAGATGTAAGTTAATGGGGCCGATTTTTTTCAGGATTTAAAAGCAGAAATTTGAAGTTTATAGTTTTATTTGCGCTCTTAAATGAATTATGTTAAAACTTGCACATTATTTGAGCTGTAAAGTATATATTTTTTTACAGTCGTTTCAGTGTTTTATGATTTATGGCGTTAAGTTGTGTTGGCAACCGAGTTGTAAAATTGAATATGGTTAGTTATAGCGTTTTGTTTTGTTTCACACTAAAATCATGTTTTCACTCATATTGTATCAAATGGTTAACTGTTTGTGTCGAATTTGTTATTATTACTCTAATATTTCTGTCATATTAACATTCATTTAGTTTTATTTAAATAGAAACGTAACAAAACATTTATTAAAAAACCGAAGTGTTTAAGAAGGTAATAATTTAATTTATGATCCTTTATAGTATTAAAGTTTGACGATATCCTTGTATTTTAACAACACCTTAGTTATGTACAATTAGATATGTTTAATCTGTTTATTGATCAGTTTTTTCCCTTTTATACTAATTTAATAGTGTACATTTAAATCCAGGATTTAAAAGCAGAAACGTGAAGCTTATTATTTTATAAAAGCAATTTAATTCTTCTGTTGCAAATTAAGTCTTCATTTTTATAGGCATTTTGGTGTGTAAGGGTTTATAGCGTTCAGTTGTTGTAAAATGTAATATACATTTACACAGAAAAGATTTGTAACACGTTGTTTTCATTTTGTTTGTATATTTGAAATGGGCCCCATTCACGTTGTAAGTGCCACACGTTTAGAAAAGGAGGAATAAATTAAAACAAATTTTTGTTGCAACTGACAATATAAGATGAACCCGTACTAAACCTGGAGTATTCCTTTGATATCTCAGGACAACATTGTTTTTTTGTCATGTTTAGTTGTTATAACTGTTAGTCACGCTCCTGTAGATGAGAAAGGTCAGTTATATAGGCACTATGGATGGTTTGTTCTCTTGTGTTGCTCCTGTGAGTTCATCCAAAGAGACCATCCATATGGTCTTATGATTAAATATTTACAGGCCACCACATTTCCAACCAACTCATGAGAAATTCATGGAGATGTTGCATTATGGGATGGTTCTGCCATTTCCCCCCACCTACAATAACCGGAGTATAGCCGAGGGAATGTCCAGATGCCGTTTTAGTAAACAAGATGTCTCTCATGCTTTTAATGTGCATTATACGTACAGTACAAGTGCTATACATATGTGATTTTGATGGCAATGACCTGAATCACTGATTACGTTTAAATGTAGTCATTTAGCAGATGCTTTTGTCCAGTGCAGCATACAAATGAGGAAAAACATGAGTCATTTATCAGCTGAATTTCAAGAGTAAACCAGAAAATTCTGGAAGCCTGATAACTTTATACTTTATTTCTCAATTGACTAATTTATTCTTTACTCTGAAGTGGAAACCGCAGGCTTGCAGTT